TGATTAATGCTATATTCATTAAATGATGACGAACGTATTAGTTTTAGATATAAATAATAATCCATTGATTATTCCTTGCTGACCGGACTATTCTTTTAAGACACAAATGGACTTTTTGCTCATCAGGTAGCTTCAGACTCTGGATCTTAATCAGGGATTCAAAATAACCGTGATTACAAAAAAATTATTACCAAATTGAAATTTTTTTGTTTTAAAAAAAAAAAAGGTAAAAAACTGCACCTTTTCATTCCACATCACATTATGTTCTACTCAGTCTCATTAAATGAACATGAATACATTAAATGTTGTGACTATAACACTGAAATTTGCTTCTTACCTATCAGGGGGAGCAGGATGTTCTCCATGCTTTTGATGAGCTGACGGTAAATTTGGATGGCCAGGTCACCAAACAGCTGATGGTACTCAGACAGCTCAAAGTTGGCCAGGCATTGCTTGTTCTGCTTAGCAGTGTTGTGCACCGTAAACGCCTGCAGAACAGATGGTTTACATCAACATACAGAGCTGGTTAAGAACCATGAAACTGTAGAGGGAGAAGGGGGCTTTCACCCTGCTGATGCTCACCTCCTCCCCACTGTACTGCTTCAGACAGTGCATTAACCGACACGCGTTGGCCAACCAGAAGCAGACAACTTCAAAATCGTTTCCTTTTCTCTGCAGCAACAATTGAAGTCAGTGTAACTTAAAAAAACAACAAAGCATAACATGAGTTCAGCCGATCATAGACGTCACCTTGATGACTCCTTTGATGCTGCTGATGGTGGAGTTGAGGAGAGTGCTGAGTCTCCTGTCGTCGTTGACGCTGTCCGCATAGCGAACGCACATGAAGATGATGAAGGCAGGAAGCCCTGGAGTGAAGCTGACAGCCACGCCACGGGGCTTCAGGTCTGTGGAGATCAGAGTTCAGTGAACGGATCCTTCATCCCTCCATATGAAGCAGACGTGCTGCTTTGACAGACCTAAGACCAGGTTCTTTAACAGGCGTCCCGCGTCGGCCTCCTTGAACTCCAACATGCCCTGGAACTCCTTCTCCTTGCGGGTGATGTGCACCTGTGTGACAGGGGTGCTCGTCACAGAGGAGGTGTTCATCTGATGAGCAACTGCTAAAGTAAACAGAGAAATTACATATTAATATATATATATATTTTTTTTTAAACTGAGTTATTATGTTCAAACCTGATTGAATTAAATTACCTTCCAGATCTTCCACTTTTTTCATGTAGAGTTTAAGCTGTTTTTTCAGCTTGCGAATCGTTTTATCTTGTTTTTCTTGTTCCTCCATTCGTTCCTAAAATCATCCAAGGACAAATAAGTTCACTGGAAAAACAGTCTAGAAATAAGTCAAGATTTCTTAAATTAAGTGTATTTACTAGGGATGCAGGATATAATCGGCCCCCTATCGATATTTAACCCGATATTTGATCAGCTTCTGAGTTTCTAAAGTCTAAAAAAAATAAATAAAAAT